ATATATATATCAGAAAAGATTCAAGGCACACAAGAGTGAGAAGATCTCAAAATTTTTTAACATTCTGACTCCTGCTGGAAATTTTCAAATGCCTTAGAAATAGCAGTTTTCTCAAGTAGTCATCTTTTAATATCGTTATGGTTTAGATATTAGGTGTCCCCCAAAGCTCATGTGTGAGATAATGCAAGAAGGTTTAGAGGAGAAATGATTGGGTGATGAGAGTCTTAACCCAATCAGTGAATTAATCCCTGATGGGATTAATTAAGTGGTAGCTGAAGTTGAATAGGGTGTGGTCGGAGAATTGGATCACTGGGGGCATGCCTTTGGGGTATATTTTGTATCTGGCAAGTGGAGTCTCTTTCTCTCCTTCTGATCATCATATGAGCTGCTTCCCTCCACCATACTCTTCCACCATGTTCAGCGTCACCACAGCCATGAGGAATTGAGTCAGCTGTCTATGGATTGAGACCTCTAAAATCTGAGCCCTGAAATAAACTTTTCCTCCTCTAAAATTGTTCTTGTCAGGTCTTTTAGTCACAGCTAGCAGAAAAAGCTGACTAAAACAAATATATAGCAAATTTCATTTCAGTTGCAATAGAAGCTGACAAGTTGAAAACTATACCAATAGCCTAATGACATTTTCAGCAATAAAGTATCCTAGGGAGCACCCAGGAGAAGTGTCACCACTGATAATACTAATCTGCAAAAATTAATCCACCTGATAAAATCTTTTCTATAAAAGCTTTTCAATTAATGGATTCCCATGATAGGATATTTTAAACCTGAATTTTATGTTATTGTCCTTAAATTTTTCAAAAATAAAATATAACAATAATAATAATATACACACATGTGTGTTTAAAACTAATCTAAAATATATCTTATTTTCAACTATATATATTTTTAAATTAATTATCAATAATTCGTTTAGGGGCTGAGGTTGTGGCTCAGTGGTAGAGCACTTGCCTTGCACATGTGAGGCACCGGGTTTGATCGTCAGCACCACATAAAATAAATAAATAAATAAAACAAAGGTATTGTGCCTATGTTCAATGAAAAAAAATTAAAAATTAAAAAAAATTAGTTAGTTTAAAAATAATCTAAATATACAGATAGTAATCCTAGCAAGAGCAAACATGTACTCTACATGTACTTTGTAAAAGTGAAATGACTAATACTCCCCCCCTCCTTTGTTTGGTGCTGGTGAGATTGAACTCAAGACCTTAGACATGCTAGATAAGCACTCAATCTCTCAGCTACACCCCCAGTCTAAAGAACACTTTCTAAATATAACAAGACAAAGTCGCAGTATATACATCTATCATAGCAAAAAGAGAACGTGACAAAGTTGGAGTCAGAAGACACAGTTATAGGTCACTGCATATACACTATATACTAGATAAATATAGTATACATATATACTAGATATAGTTGAGTGAGGATAGATGCACAAAACAGTTATTCAAATTAAGTAAAAGGAAGTCCAAACCATGAACTATCTAAACCAATAGCTTTTTCAAAAATCAATCAATCTATCTATCTATTTATTGTGTGTGTGCGCATGTATGTGTAAGTGTATCTTGCCAAGAATCAAACCCAGGACTTCATGTATGCTAGACATCCTACTACTGAGCTATACTTTACCCCCAACCCCAAAATCAATTTATTTTAAATGCACATAATGATTCAAATAACAAAGTGCCTACGAAAAAAAAAAAAAGTTTTATGGTATCCACATGTGGCTTATTATCAGTATAGTGATTAATCCATACATTAAAATCATGCCTGTTAAAGAGGCTGTTCAGTTTTGATATACTCTCACTATAGTTTTAATTTATTTCACATGGATCTTTTCTAAATTCTGCAAAAGAAAACTCAAATCCAAGTAATGTATGACTCTCATGAACAAAGCCCTTTTAATTTCTCTTATTTTCTTTACCATAATGAAGCCACATATAAGTCTAAATAAGAATCTACTTTGTTTGAAAATTGGTACTAGCCATATTAGGAACAGTCCTCTCAAAAATATTGAAAGTGGCCTAAAACATGTCTACATAGGTGACATTCATTTAATTTACAGCTGCAGAATTTATTTACTACCCCTATTTATCAGCTATTAACTAAGTATTCCAAAGCAGAATATCAGAATTAAGTAGAGTAATAGATATTATCTCTTTTAAACCAAGACAAAACTAATTTTTACAATGTTTACAGCAAGGTGCAATGGCACGTCTGTAATCCCAGCTACTCAGGAAGTTGAGGCAGGAGGATCACAAGCTCAAATCCATCCAATAATTCGGCAAAACCCTATCTCAAAATAAAATAAAAAAGGTTGGGATGTACTTCTTAACTAACACACAGAGGCTCCGAATCAAATCCTCAACAGAAAAAAATTGTAAAGTTTTCAACTAGCGGGCTGGGGATGTGGCTCAAGAGGTAGCGCGCTGGCCTGGCATGCGTGCGGCCCAGGTTCGATCCTCAGCACCACATACAAACAAAGATGTTGTGTCCGCCGAAAACTAAAAAATAAATAAATAAATATTTTAAAAATTCTAAAAAAAAAAAAAAAAGTTTTCAACTACCTATTGAGCAAGTCTAAGGAACACTATGCATAATGATACAGTATTATAAAATTTGTAGCTAGGCACTATAATGCATGCCTGTAATCTCAGTGACTCAGGAGGCTAAGGCAGGGGGATCGTGAGTCCAAAATCAGCCTCAGCAACTTAGCGAAGCCCAAAGCAACTCAGTGAGACCCTTTCTCTCTAATAAAATATAAAAAAGGGCTGAGGATGTGACTCAGTGATTAAGCACTCCTGGGTTCTATCCTCAGTATCAAATAATAAATAAGTAAGAGTGTGTGTGTGTGTGTGTGTGTGTGTGTGTGTGTGTGTGTGTGTGTGTATAGCTGGGTGAGTAAATAATTCCTTGTAAGTAAGCTAGGTAATAACAAAAGATATTAATATTTTATAGTCATAATAAATGTAATTGATGCACAGGTTTAACTGGTACATCAACATCAATTTACCAAACATTATTTTCCTAGAGTCATAATTTGTCTCCAAAAGGATTATGGAATCAAATCAAATATGTTCACACTGGCACTTATATAAAGGACATGTGGGGGCAGGGTGCATGTAAGCATGTGTGGTGAAATATAAATACAAAACAAATGACTAGCCTGACATTGTTCTTCATTTCCTGCAGTTAAACAGATTAAATACTATATCAACTATTTGAATTTTGACATTTGGGATTTATGCTGAAGTACTATTTTTTAGTAACCAAAAAGAATGGCACTGGACAGTACAAAATTCGGCTCAGACTCTGGACCTGATGATAGATACTATTATCATGATATAGTTCCAATTAATGTCTAAGTTCAAAGAACTCAGGTAAAAAGTAAAGAAAGTACATTAATTATATAATATTTTATGTACAATATTTATCAAATATGTAACTGTCTAAATTTTGCTTAATTATAAAATGAAGTCAATACTTTATAGCTCAGATTCTGTAACAAATCCAACCTTCAAATTCTGCTATCATGATAAAATATGAAAGTTTAAAAGTTATTTTTTTAAAATTATTAGCATCTTTTTTCTGATTTCTTAACCAAGAGAGAGCTCTTTTAAAAGTCAATAAAGTAACTCCACCAGATTAAAACAAAAAAGTACATAAAGCAGTACTAATACAGACCAACACTTAGCAACTCAGTCTGTCTTTATTAAACATATGCTGTCTAGAGTCCAGTGCACTGGCACACACCTGTAATTCTAGCAACTCAGGAGCTGGAGGATCACCATTTCTAGGCCAGCCTACACAACCTAGGGAGACCCTGTCTCAAAACAAAAAAACGAAAAGTCTGGAGATGCAAGCTCAGTGGTAGGGCATCCCTGGGTTCAATCTCCATTACAAATAAATAAATAAATAAATTTTTATGTTTTCAAGTCCATATAAAAACTAAGCTCCTTAATAACAGATATCTACTAAACTGAATAATCTATAATTAACACAACAATTCTATTTCTAAAATACTTATCACGGCTTATTGTCTTAAGGATTTAAATGTTCTCATCTTGTTTATGTTATTACTTGCTTAGACTTTTTAGCAGATGTGTATGTACGCCACAATAAATACACATTAAGATGTTAAGTTAGTGTTTTATCTCAAACTAGAATAATCTCTAGCAGTTTGGAGAGGGTAAAATTATTCTGAACAGCTAAAAATAGGATAAATCTCTGGTAGGAATCCAATGATTAATTCAACATTAAGTTCAAAGGTTTGTGTACTACAAAAAGAAAAAAAAAA